GTCTGGAATGTATTTTTGCTCAAAGTCAGCATCTAGTGGCGAATAGATGAACTACAGATAAAGTCACTGAAGGATTCTGTTTGGCATTTAACTGCAGAGCTTTCCTCTTGAGCGAACACAAGCGTTAAAGAAAGGTGGACAAACTCTGAGCAAATACAGTCTATGGAAGTAAAGATTTAAAAATGGAAATGTTGCATCGTGGTAATGCAAAAAAGAAGAATTTAACACATAGCTGGGATGTAGAAGATAAAGTTTAAGTACATTCAGTGTTAAGTAGAAGCAGATAAATGTGTGTTTGTTGTGTATCTACTGTATATAAAAGGAACACAATGTTTTATTCAACCCACAGAGATGTGACGGTGCACAGCGCACACTAGTGGCCAACGTGTGAAACTGCACCTAACAATGACACGACAAAAAACCCCATTACAGAAAGGCAATAATATTTTATTCAAATTGATGAACAAGGTACAGTATGTAGAGAATAACTAATCCAGAGGTCCCGCTTTGTGTTCAGGAGCCTCTCATGCTATGACGATACAGTGGTCAGTATGTTGGCATGCATCGAGGGGAGAAAAGAGCCCCCACAGCTCTGAAGAACATGAGTGACCCTACAGAATGCAAAACCAAGTAAAGGTTAATCACTGAGCCCGGCCGCGTTCACAACAACGGGCAGGTGTGTTGAAACAAACTACCAAGTTTTAATACGTAGAAAATATTTATCATGTTGTTGTTTTTGTGGTTTGCTCCGTCATTCATTCTTGTTGGTCAAGGAGGGCAAAATACTCACACCGAAGGGAATGTACGCGTCCCGGTTAAATGCTAACGTGTGCGACGACGTTTCACGACACAAAACAAAAAAAACTCGTGGATCTTAATAAACTGTCGGCTATCGTCACTGGAACTACACTTAAAAAATGGAAAACTAAAAACCAGAGCGCCCTCCTCTGCGTGACAGCGAAGACGCACGACTTAATTAGATCTTGCAGGAAATGAAACAACAAAATAAATTAGCATCAATCAACCACACAGAGCCCTCTGCATCCGAGTGTGCGCGTGACCGTCGGACAGGGCGAACCGTTGCACCATAAAGACGTGTGCATAGTCTTAAAAACAGACATACAGTAGGTACAGTTCAGAGTGACATGCAAACAGTAAGTACAAAAAGAAATTCCAGTCCCTTTCTCGTACATTCAACACGCGAGTGCTGAAATAATTAGTGAGTGGAAGCATTAAACGTTAGAATCGATATCGTGTGGGTACTCTAGAGACACATCAGGTTATCTATACTGACACCAACGCCGACGGTGGGAAAACGAATGAAGGGCAAAGAAAAAGAAGAAAAGGTTACGGCTCTGGGATCTGAAATGAAGCACATCGACGAACTAAAAGTATTTTAAAAGTAGAAAGAGTGGCCTCCGTCTCCGAGCAAAGTTAAAACACCTCTACAGATATGTCATGCATAGATTTATACAAAAAAAGTCTGCATCTGCACTCTGCTTCCATCCCGACCTCAACTCAGTAGCCAGTCCTAATAGTTGGATAAACAATTAAAAGTTTTTGGTGTCCTAAAATGTGCGTTTTTCTAAAAAATAATACAATTCAAAACATAAAACAAACATTCAGGATTTTAACTTGAGGTTCAAATAATTTTTAGCCTCCACGCAGACATCCGTTATGAGAAGTGAAACTAAAACGTGACACAGTTGTGAAACAACAAAAGCAGAACAATAACCTGCAGAGTTATTTTGCACCAACACCTTCAGGTCGACCAGTAGCTTTAATACTCAATCTATCTCCATGAGTTTAAAAACATGATACCGAACAGCTAAAAATCATAAACGCGTTCACTTAAAAAGGATTCACTAGAAGTTTTTCTATGCCGTGTCGCTGCAGTAATGAGTAAAGTGATTGTTCACATTGCACAACTGTTTTAAAGCTCTCTATCGATTGTAGTAAATGACCAAAATAAATAAATAAAAGCGTCAACCAGGGATGTCTGTAAGCGCGTCCGTAACGTTCATAAATAGCTTATACAGTGTTTGCATTGGGAAAAGTAAACGCATGCATTCAATGAAGTAAACATTTTTCTCACTCCCCTGTACAGATGCTTCAACTCCAAAATATGTTACAAAACTGGGCGCCGCCGCTCCGGAGCAGCGCGGACCAGACAATCGTTGTCAAGAAACCCGCTCTGCTCAAAGACAGAGCGTCGATGGCGAAGACAACCAGCCCCCCTCCCCCCGTAAACCGCCACCGCGTCTTGTTCCCGCGTACCTGAAAGTATCGTCGAGTAAAGACGAGGAGAAACACGAGCGGCTAAACTATGATTAAACCTGTACAGTAGAAGCCTGAGACGAAGCATGCTGGGACTATAAACGCATGCAGGATAAGAGGAGGAGGAGGAGGAGGAAGAGGAGGAGGAGGGTTCAAGGTGCAGGAGGATTCTCTCCTGGAAGGGTCCCACAAGCCCCAAACGAAGCAGAACAAAAGGAAATGGTTGTCAAAGTGCCTTAAATCAGTAAATCCTTCCTTGTGTTTTTTTTTAAGCGTCCGTCACACTCGTCCGGAAACGTGTAGGCTGCCAGTAGAAAACGGTGAGTAAAGGGGTGTCGTGCTGTGTGGCTGCAGGCAGGCGGAGACCGGCGTGCATAATGAACCCTCTGCATCAGGAAAGAGCTTCATCCTCTCCCACGTAGGGCAGCTCCATACTCCTCACGCCGTCACCGCTCTCCTGTTTCCTAAGTAACACACCACAGAATTAGTTCGTAGCGGCGCTGCGAGCCGACTGTCAACCCGCCGAAACAGCAAAACAAACAAGCTAGCATTTAGCCCTGTTTGGGGGAAATGAAAGCAAGCATTTGAGTGTTACATAAGCGGAGGCGCGCCGAGGAGCTCATTTCATTCTACACCACGTACAGTAAACAAAGAGGGGAGCTCAAGGAAATATGCAAAAACCGAGAAAAGGTCAAAAACTGGGGGGGACTGTTATATTGAAGAGGTTAATCGTTTCTGTTAGGATAACAAGAGTTTACAGGCAAATCCTTGAATGCTACGAGCGCGTCATGCAGAGGGATGAGGAACGACTTATCGAGATAAACGGATGCTCTTGGCTCGGGATGAACTTGTGCTTCTTTTGTTTTGTCACAGAGGCTGAGATGTTTAAAAGTGTTAGGAGTCTGGTGTCGCACTGTGCTGCGTTACACACTGATGCCAATCAACACAACACCACCCAGTGTTCCTGCGGTGTGCGAGTGTCAGCTACAACTGGATGCGTTAAGGTGGTGCAGGTGTCTCCGCTAATATGGGACATGATTCCACACATCACGTGGTCACGGTAAAAATGTGTGAGTATTTAAGAGCTACTCTGGGTTTGATTGGTGATTATTTGAAGAACGTCACTTACTATATTTTGCTCTATAATTAAACGCTACACCAAAAGCACCCTTAGACAATGACATACACAACACTGCAGCTACTACAGACTCCTGAGCGAGGCGCAGCGTTCCCAGAGATGGCTTGTCCAAACACCCCTAAACCAGCACAGGCTAGTTTACAAACTTGATGCACGACAGCATTTGGTCACCACAGCCATGTTGGGAAGCGGTCATGCTAGGGGGTCTTACAGTATGTTCTCTAGTGCTTAAACAGGACTACAGCAGGCAAGACTCGTCCTCACATCATTTACCTTTTCTGGTTACAGTGAATGTAGCAGTACCTCACATTGCCTGCTCTGCCTTTCCTACAGGGCAGGAGAGGAGGGGAGAGAATAACAACAGCCTACTAGCAGTCTCTACGACAAACTTCTTAACAAGTGTTGGCCGGTAGAGAGTATAAGAGGACCCAGCAGTGAGAACACGGTAGTGACAGCACGCTGCTATGAGCGCCGTGACTCCAAATATGACTGCAAAAGACATCCAGAGACAGAGTCGTGTCTGTGAACTCACGTGAGCGTTTGGCCCGGAGCGCACAAACTGCTGCGCTCCTCTTTCCGGCCCCAGTCGAAGGGGTTCCCAAAGGAGCGCTTCCTCAACATGGTTCTCACCAGGATCTGCAGGAAAATGAAGAAAAAGACACAAAACCAAGTTTTTTTTTAACATTGTGTTTTTATCGCACTGGAGACACATCGTTATGGAGCAGTGAAAAAATTACACAAATAAATCAATAAAAGAATAATAAAATAAAAGTGGAAATGAAAAGAAGAATAAATAAAATAAAAAATAAATAATGTGGCAAAATAAAGGGATATTAATCAAAAATGAATCCATAAAAGAAAAGGCTAATAAAAGTAGAAATATAAAGACAAATAAAATAATTAAAATAATATTTTCTTTTCTTTTTTATTTATTTATTTTTTTAATTTTTTAATTTATAAATTTTTCTAATTAATTGTTTTATTTATTTAAATTTTTTCACAATATTTTTCTTTTTTAATTTTAAAAAAATGTATTTTACAAGCTCACTTTAAAAGCAAAGGAAAAAAAATGTCCGCATATTTTCTTTGCTTTTAAAGCGACATTATGAAAAAATAAAAATAAAAAAAAAAATAATAATAATACATTTTAAAAGTATAAAAAAATATAAAAATTCACAGAAGAAATAAGTTCATGTGAAAACTGTCATATTTCTCACAACGCTTGGCTTTAAGTAATGTAAAATGAGAATAAATTAAAAAGACTACATGAGTCATACATGTGCCATAGCACAAAGAGAGTAGGTATGGTGACGATGCTGTGGGTAGTGCAAATATAGAGGTACATGAAATGTAAGTACCTAAAAATACACTTTACAGACTAATCCAGATGTACGTGGAATTAGCAAATAACTTGCTCCTGACAGACTTTGATTCTCACTCGTCTTTCAGTTCAGCTGAACAAGCTGCACCCATCTGTGACACTTTACTTAATGACACCAGAAGCACAAACGAATGAGACTCAAGTGTGACTGAGATGTTTGTTGCGGTTTCTGCGAGAGACAAAACAGTTCTGGTTCTCACCACTGTCGCCAGGCTCGGGATGTGTTTAACAGAATTCTCCACTTCCTCCTCGGTCACCTCAATCAGCATACAGCAGTTGTCGTCCTCTGGAGGGAGAGGCTCGGCACCATGCCTCGTCACCCACGGGTGCACCTTGACGCGAGCACAAGGAAACCAAAGGGGATCTGTGTGTGTATTTCACTTGGATTCTCTGACACATGTACAAACTCAGACGCGGCATCTTCGGAGGCGCACCGCTATGAATTTAACAGGACTGATGCAAGCGCAAAGTTCTGTTTAAGTAGATCAACATCAGCTAGTCATGTCACCAAACTGGTTTATCGTACAACAGCAACGAAATAAGAGGAGTCAGGTGGTTACAGGTGAAAAGGCAAACAGTTATTAGTCTAAAATTATTGGCAAACAGCAGAACATCAACCCATAAACATAAACAATGCGATATTGAAGACAGCTAACTGCTTCGTCAGAGCGTTTACCTTAATCTGTGGGATCGATATCCTGGTCTCTGGGTTCTTGTCGAGCATTTTCAACAACAAGTCTTTGAGATCGTCTGATATGTCAGCGCTGTTGTTACAGGGAGAAAACACAGCTGCAGTAACTAAGTAAAAACATAGCAAATAAGGGGGAAAATGTGTATTAAATAAAATAAGCAACAGCCTTCAGACGAATGAGAGGAGAAGCAGAACTTACTGTTCAGGTAACACCACAGGCTGAGTCTTGATTTTTTGATGAAGACTGAGAATGCGCTCATCCATAAACGGACACTGTGAACACATGAAAGAGTTTCAATGGAAGATTAGAGATTGTAAATAAATAACAATAATTTAAACAAAGCTAGCAGTGTTTAGTCTACTGCACACACTCACCACTCCAAAGACGAAGCAATAAAGCGTCACTCCCATCGCCCAAACATCCAAAGCCTTCGTAAAGAAAACAAAATAGGATAAATATTTCATTTCATTTTTGGCTCATGGTGGTTGAATTTTGCCATCATACACAAAAAAATATGATAAATATGAAAACGAGGACAGTGCTAACGCTAAGAACATGAGAAACAGAAAGCAAAAGGTTCTTGCATTTCTGAAACTCATCCCCAGATGGCACTAGTTAGCCGACTGCTGCTGCTTCACCTTTCCAGAGAAGTTCTTTCTGGTCTCGGAGAGCGCTTCAGGGGCAAGAAAAGCAGGTGTTCCCACCGTGCTGGTCAGGAGGGCGTCAGCTCCTTCAAACTGGTTGCTGACGCCGAAGTCCGCGATCTTGATGTGTCCGTCTTCTCCCACCAGCAGGTTGGAGGGTTTGACGTCTCTGTGGATGATCCTCTGATAATGTACTGATGAAAACAAAAATGATTAACGTTTGTAGAATTCTGCTCACAGCAATAATTAAGAAGAATATTGTTCTTATTCTCTTTAAGCACAACCAGGTGTGTGCTGCATGTAGGAGTCTTAAAACAGCATCTTCACAGCTTTAATGTATTCAAATTTTGAACAACAATGACTTGGACTCATGAGGAAAAATGTCTCGCACTTCACTTAGTTGGATAAACATTTCATCAAATGACTCCCATCAACAGAGAGGATGACGCCCACGGCTGCTTCTTAAGATGTCAAAACAAAAAAAACAAAACGAAGCGAGTCGTGCTCGTCTGTTTAAACGGCATCATTTAACGAACTACCTGCGATGAGCACTTAGTGAGCCCTGACTATTCCTGTGCCCCCGGTTCAGAGCCCTCCCTCTCCTTTCCCCGGCGCTAGTCTCCTAGACGACACTCTCGGCGCAAAAAGCTCTTCTCCTGTGCTGAAACGCATTAAGAGCTGCTGAGATGATGTGAAATGAGCCTTGTGGGTGGCTGGAGTCAAGATGAAGGACTTGTGTAAATGGCAGGGGGAGAATTATTGGACGAGGGCAGATCTCGGTAACGCAGAAAGAGCTTTGTCTTGTTACCACTATCGTGTAATTATAACTTAGATATTCGCAGCCATTTAATATAGACTCTTATCTCTACAGGGGGGGGAGAAGGCATATTAGCATAGCTGCAGTCACATAATCATATCTGTATGGCAAAAGAAGTAAATTTTTTGGAATTTAAGATATAAAAAACTGCCAGATTCTGAGTTTAACAACTACAAAAATTAATTTACGCTACAAATCAGTAAAAATCCGGACAAGATTTTATACTAAACTGCAATTTAACAACCAATCCTGAATCAGCTGTGAATCTAAATCTAATCCTAACGTGTGACAAATCATCCAAGAGAGATAAACAACCCCAACGAACCCACACTTAACACGGTCGCAGGCTGAGTGGAAGAGTAACAGCACACTCACGGTACTCGATTCCCCTGAGCAGATCCTGGAAGTAAAAACGCGCCTGGTCCTCGCTGAAAGGTTTATCTGTCGGCACTTCCATCACAGCTCTGGATACACATGAGGAAACGTAAACAGGTACACACACACACATGCGCGCTCATTAGCAATCACACCTAATGAGACTGAGCTCATTCCAGTGTCACAATCATTAGCATAAAAGAGGCTTATAGCTTACCCCTGCTTCACCAGCTCAAACACTGTGACAGAAACACACATGAGGTTAGTGAGGAGGAGGAGGAGAAGCTTTTTAAGACACAAACTTTAAGATGAGGTTCGAACGACCTTCCTTTATGCTCGCTTGCTTTCTCTGTGATGTTTGTTTACGTGTTTATCTCAAGGTTGACTGTGTGAACGCAACATACCCATGTACAGATGGTCCTCGCTGGGGTCGTCCAAAACCTGGCACCGAATCACAGGGGGATGGAAATTAGCATAAACACACACACACACACAGATACACACAATAGATTACCTTCTCATAATATCAAATACACCTTTACTGCTAATAACTGCACACAGGTCGCTGCCGGTGGTGTTAAAATGAACAGTGTTGATGAGACACACAGCCATGTATGAACAGAAGTCAGATGTATTCGAGGAAAACACTTGCATCATTTCCTGCTCTCGAACTTTCTTTTGCTTCCCCTTTGTGTTTAGAGTGAGCTTAATACTCCAGGGTGATTTGAAAATAATCCTTCGTGGATGTTGTTTTGATGTTTATCTGTCGCATTCTCATGAGACGGACACTGCAGACTGGAGGTTTTTTTTTATTTCTGAATCGGAATGAAAGTCAGAATTGGCTTTATTGTCCAAGTAGGTGAGAAAATACAAAGCATGTGACTCTGGTGTTTGCTTTGCTTTCAAAGTGTGTTCACAAATAACACGTGAACTTAAACAAGGGCAACAGATTACAGAAGGAAGTATTTGGCTAGTGTGGAAATCTACTGATAAGACAGCATGTTTAAAGTGAGCCAAAGTGTACGGTTCAAATTACACTAAAATGGCAGACTGCTTGTGCTTTAACTCACCTCCACCAGTTTGACTACATTAGGATGGTCCAGCTTTTTAAGGATCGCTATCTCTTGGTAGACTCTCTCCAGTGGTCCTTTAGGCTGAGCGGGACCCTCGGGGGCCGCTCTGGCTCCACGAGGAGGAGGTCTCCCTGATTGAGGACAACGTAGGTGACAAGGGAAGGACAAGAACAAAGACAGGCTGGACTTAAGCACCGGTATGCAACGATAATGTATCAGCGGTGCATCACAGATTGCGCTCTCTGCTGTGTTAACCATCTGCCCTCGACTCCAGACTTACGTGGGAAACCTGCCTGCCTCATCAGCCTTCTCTTGGACAGCACCTTCATCGCCTACAGGAGAGAGAGAGAGGGAAATGGATTTGGATTGGAGGAGGATAAGAGAAAAATGGAGAGGGGGTGGGAGAGTCCAGCGGGCAAGAGATCCAAAGAACAGATGAACAGAAAGGCAGACAAAAAAGATGAGCAAGATACAGAATGGTGATATGGCGCTTATTTGACAGCGCGCCCACTCACACACCTACAGATGACTATCAGCACCTAGAAATTTCTCTCCACCTTGAACGTCCTTTGTGTGTTTGTGACTACAAACACCGAGCAGTGTCATCAGTACAAGAGATTATGAAAGGTAGGATTACAAAAGAAGACGCTGCCGCCAGTCATGGCGTATGCAGGATGATTGACACACACTCGATAAGTGCACAACATGTTTTTCCTCCGTGCTGCTTGGTCTGTGAGGTTTGTTATTCTCGTTACTGTAGATGCTAAATAAAACATTTTTTTTCACAGTTTTCCCAAGGGAAACGGAAAAACTGTGATGAATTCTCAAAGGAATGTTTTCAAACATCTAATCCGACCGTGTATTCTTAGCTGCCAGATCACAAAGTGGAACTATTCAGTGTTTATAATGGCTAGCTTAAGAATTTGCAGTCAAATCATCAAAATGATTTAACCCAGAGATAGATTACATTCATGCGCTGGAAATGTCCAGCGAGTCAGAGATGACCGGGAACATCCCTGTAGCCAGTGATGGGTAGTAACGCGCTACATTTACTCTGTTACATGTACTTGAGTATTTTTTTGATAAATCATACTTTTCAGAGTAGTTATTTGCAGAATACTTTTACTCTTGCTCGAGCAAATTTGTGAGAAAATAAATGTACTTTTACTCCGTTACTTTGGGCTACATGCTTGTCGTTACATAAATTTATCTACGAATAAATTCAGACGAGCTCAGATGCAGAAGTGCAGTTCTGCAGGTGGATGGAGGTGTGGCCCGCCCCTCCACCGACCCCCTTCACCTCACTGTGGTTCAAGAACATGGCAGAAGATAAAACGCCAGCATCTCCCTCAGACAATGACACATTGCTGGCCCCATTGTCAGACCCTGTTTGTCTTTCAAATGTCAAGAACCAACAGTCATATGATGTGCTGCCTACTTTGTCGGCCCAAAATGGTGGAAATCTCCATTTTCAAGAATTCCACATCAAATCTGAGAAAGCATGTGATGGTAAGATGTCTGTGAAGATTCTCAGTCATCCAGGTCATGGACTAGTTTGGAGTTCCAGATACTGATATCCTAAAGGAGCCATTAACACCCCCAACTGAAACCGAAACTCAAGTGTTAATGGCTTCTTTCGGATATCTGGAACTCCCAACTAGTCAGTCAGAACTGATGGAGCCTCTTGGATGAAACTTCTTCAAGGAACTCAAGCAAGGCCAGTTGCTACGACTAATCTACCAGAATAACATGTGATGGTAAGTAGACTGAACTGTTACTCATGATAGCAACGCTAACAAGCTAACATCGAGTGAGTCGACTTATATACAGGTTAACAAAATGAGGAAGGGTTTTTCTACTGCACAGCCCACCTCTGTTGGTAGCTAATCCGCCTGTCGCCGGGTTAACTGTATACCGCCTTTTAGCGAGTGTAGCGGCTCCATTGTTAACGCAACGTAAGGAATACATATATCATATGAAACTAGAGAACCTAAGGAATAAACACATACCAAGCGTATCATGCTAGCTTATCCGCATGGGAATGATATAACGCTCCAAAGTTGGGCTAAATTTTATAAAAAAAGCTACTACGACTGCCTTGATGTCAGTGAGGATATCTCAGAACAAGTGTATTCAAGCACACAAAGCTTACAGGTTGGGAAGTTTCAGTTGTTTGAATATGAGGCTTGTCTTTATTAAGATTCTATTTTTTATGCAAACTACAGCATGATATATTACTGATATGGATTTTTATGCAATTAATTGCATCTGAAGTTACGCAATACTTGAGTAGTTTTTTTTACAAGTTACTTTTTTTTACTCAAGTACTGATTTTTATGAGTACTTTTACTTCTACTTGAGTCTACTTGAGTACCGTTGCTGTTTACTCTTCCTACCGCTGCCTGTAGCCGCCAACCATCCAGTCAACGTTTAAAATCGAGCACAGTGCGTGACAGGCAGCTACATTGTTCGGCAGATATTTTCCCTGTTCGAGGGGAAACAGATTCCTCCCTAATAGCCTCAGCGCCCTCTGTTATTACGCCAATGATATAATCACTAAATGTGACATGTGGGCCTTGTCACTTGGGAGAAATAATAAAATAATCCCCATGTCATTGTTAGTCACAATCACGCAGCTTAATGAGAATTGCAGCAATAATCGTGAGCAGCAAACAGAAAAGCTCGAGCTGATGCGTTATTACATTAGTCAGCTCGAGCTCAATTATCTCGAGACGTTTTCACATGTGGAGGTTTCGCATAAAATCGCACCCAGCAAATGTGACAAGTCGGTTGGATTTTTTTGGTGTGAGGTTTGCCTGCGGGTGTGGAACCAGAGACAAGTGAGGTAATATTAATAGCTAGAAAGAGATCGCATCTGTATCAATGTGTGCATCAAAGACTTACATAGTACGTGTTGTCATCCTCGTTGTAGGCCAGCTTGACAACACCATAGGAGCCCTGTTACGAGAATAAGTAAGAGAATAGAAGCCAGTAGCCAAAAGTGAGACTGAGCAGCTGTCAGTTCTTTGTGTGACAAGAAAAAAAAAAAAACTATGTGCAAAGCAAACATTCGAAAATACTTAAAAATACACACAGGAACAAATACACAAATATATACACACACACACACACACACACACACACACACAAGGGAAGTGAGTGGGCTGACAGTGTACACTGAGAGAGTACCAGCTGCTTCAAAGTGAGAACAGAGAAATTCAAATCATCTCTCTCTCTCTCTCTCTTTCATTTTTGATTTCAGGCTAATTAAGGAAACTGGATCTGGATTCTGTTAGCAAGCTCCCCTGCCCACACACAGGAAATTCAGGATAAAAAGTAGGGCCCAATTAGTAGCCTGTGTGCACAAATACGTGCGCAAAAAACAAACAGAGAGAGAGAGAAGGGGGGAGGCAGGATCAGCTCCTGCTGGGGGAGCAGATTGGAGATTGAACGGGCAGCCCGGAGCTCCTCCTACAGTCCCAGAGATGGTCTGATAACAGGAGGCTGTCCAGCAAACTTAAAAGGCTTTAATTGTCTCTACTGGGCTCAAAAAAAAAAAAAACACACTCACTGTCACGTCCACATCCATGCAGAAATACATGCAAATTCTGCCTTACAAAATCCACAATCTAAAACGTGCACACACACACTCACTCACTCACACACACTTGTATCCACTAAGCCTTGCACAGCCCTCAGAGAGCACTATTTATACCAGCCTCTCATCCATCTTCCAACTCTCCCATGGCCTGGTAGTTTACACAGAGTTTGGGAAATGAGGACAGCCGGGAGAGAGGATATCAGAGACTGTTACTGCACGTCCTTGATGATGTGCGCTACTTGACAGACATGCAGTAGGCGGAAGGAAGGAAGAAGGAGAAGGAGAAGAAGAAAATGGAAGAGTCGGTGAAAAGGGAGCAATCAGCGAGTTGTCTCTGATGGTACCTTTCCAATCTCGTCTTTCAGCTTGTACTGGTTGAGTTGAACGCAGTCCTTGAAGAAAGGAGGAGAAAATGGGTTTCTTTTCAAAATCACATCTCCTATTTTAGCAATTACCTACCCTAGATGCATCACATTTTTTTGCAAGTCACTATGACTCGGCAAACACTTCTGCCCTCGTGCACCCATGGGAAGTTTAGATATTTCGCAGCCTGTTGCATTACGACAGCTTCTATCTACATCTATGTGTAACAGGGACCACGGCTATTATCTACTGACACTACATCCTCTTACCTCCGCCTCCACAAAGCTCGCTCTTTAGTGCGCTGCTGCTTTTGAGACAAACGCACATGCGGTTCCGCTTACTTAAGTGTGATATTTATTATTATACGCTAACACATGTTCAAGAGGAGCACCCACTGAAACAGACCGGCTCTGTGCGAACATTAGTTAGTTCTGTTCATTCATGTGTAAAGCTTTGGGCAATACACAGTCCCTGAGGGAGTACGCTGGGTCAGATGGTGCAGAGATGCTAAATTATATAATCACAATTATTACTCCACTGCCAGTAACCTCGCATTAGCTCGTTTCCTGTGATTTCGTGATCGGTTACGGACAAAATCGGCGTGGCTCTGCGGAGCGTTGATAACAAAGTGAACCGCGGTAATCAATGTCACAAACATCAGCGTTAGACTACGTTAGCAGTATTGATTTTGTTGGATACGGGCTAGGACACATTGCAAGCAGCAAAATCAACTACAAAGAAGGTTTTACAGCTTTTTAAAAAATACCATACCTGCAGGTCTGTGATGGAAACACTGTGGGACTCCACGGTGGGCCGGCGGGGCAAGCGTGGAGAGGAGTGGGGCGACGTGATGGGGGAGTACGGTAATGATGGGTAAATATAGCGCCCGTTGAGTCCAGGGGAGCTGCAGGGCGATGTTGCCGATTGCGAGCGCTCCTGCAGAGATAGCTTCCTGTCTGACAGGTTTAATCTTCCCCTTTGCTCTTGGCTTTCGGGAAGCAGAGCCTCTGGCCGACCAACTGTATGGGACAGCAGGTCGCAGGATGGAGTCCGGAAAGGTGCCGCCGTGGAGGAAGCTGGCTCGGGCGTCTCGGAGCTGTCCATTTCTTCTACCTGACATGTCACATATTCATATTGTTTTAATTCTAACTACTGCATTATCCTGTAATAGATGATTCAGTTGAAGGTAATACGAATATAGCTTCATACAATTTCTGCCTTCTTTTTTCTGTATTTACAAGACAGACAGAATAACAGCAGCACATGTACAACGCAATCAATAACAAGAAAAAGCAGCTTCTACCAATACCACCACTGAACAAACAAGAAAACCCAACACATGACAAGACCCAAACGGCCAATTAAGCTCTACGTCTTGTGCAGACAGTGTTACCCGAGCACGTTTCATCTTACCTCCTCCTCTCCGGCCTCTCCAGGCGGTCTGCTGGGTTCATACTCCGTAACCACGATGAGGGACTCCATTGGGTCCGGGGAGGGCGTCTCAGAGTGGGTGTTCAAAGGTGGAGCAGGACAGCTGCACAGCAGATCAGGCAGGGGCTGTGAGGGCTGCACTGGGGGTGCATGACTACCGCAGGAGGCCGGGGGCTCAGCAGAGGGCCAGGGGGTTACATGACAGGGAAACATGGTGCGTCTTCACAAAGCCTGACAACCACTGCTCCATCAGATGGGAACCTCGCGGGGGGCGAATGGTACCTAAGATGCAACAGAAAATCACAGAATAAGAAAATACAAACAGAGAACTCTTGTTTTTCTGTTTGCCTGAAATGCTAAAAAAAAAAGCACACTGCTCTCCATCTCTGTTCAAATTCTCTAATGACAGTAAAATTAAAACCATCTGCTCCCTTCTGCAGCATCTGTCTTTCCTGATAAGATGACCGGACAATTCCCCGAACCTCCCTCGCTGATGAAGATCTCTGAATGTCTGCCTATGAGCTGTCCCAACAAAAAGCTCTTTTAGAAAAATCTCACCCACACTTAAGCTTTTGATCCAGCAAATAAATTGTGTTTTATTTATTATTCCATGATGTGACAGCAGGTTAGTTCTTTACTCGAAACACACATCCAGTCCAGAACTACATCAGTCCCATTACTACCTTTTCTTTTCCAAATTCTAGGAATGTACACTGTCCGCCCAAATCTCTTATTTCTTCTTGAGATTCTGCAGTAGCTTGAATTCAACCTCATTTGTAGTAGGGTTGCAAATAACGACTATTTTCAGCGTCATTTATCTGTCAATTAATTTCTCGACCGATCAAGGAGTCATTTGGTCCATAAAATGTCAGGAAATGGTAAAAAAAATGTCGTCAACCCAACGATATTCAGAGTAAAGGTACCAAAAAAACCAATTAATTGACTATCAAAGCTGTTGACAATCAATTTAATGCTTGAATCCATTTACGATTGCATCCCTAATTTGCAGACGGCTTTGGTGAATGCATAGAAACACACAGCATCCAATTGTTTTTGTAATCTTCATGCAGGATAATAAATCTGCACATGCTGCAAAACAACATCCACAAATATCAGTCAAATGATACCAGCAGCTTCAATACTGTGTTTTAAAATAGCTGCACTTTCCCTGTAGTGACGTGGTTATCGTACGCCGCATTCATCCTAATAGCTGCTGCATGGTGCACAACAACCTGGAGATAATGTTACGCGTTTATCTCGGATTTCTGCCTTAATTTAATAGTACGGCATGAAGAGGATGACAAAGACCCAGAGACCGCATTTACACCAACCTCCTGCTCCAGTATTAATGTTTTCCTTCAAACGCATAATACCACAACTGCCTTAACACAGAGTACATATTACACATATATAAATCGACAATAACTACCTGAAGCATGCTCAGTTTTCAGTTTCTGTTGCACACACAGGAGTAAAGCGACAGTGCTTTCAAAGCAGAGGGTAGCTGTATCTGATTAGCCAAAAATACTTGACATAAATCTTCCGACAAAGGACGAAGCAGTTTCTGTGCACATCTAAGGTTTCGTTACTGACAAAGCAACTTGTGAGTGTAATAAAAAAAGGTGTGGCAGAAACAACCAGAGATGCTGTTCGCTCGCTCTGAAACATAAGCAGCTACAGCTCTTCTTTCGTACCAAACATCCGCGGAGCTTGGACTTTTCCCACACATTCTGTTAAGTGCTAATTAATGCATGCAAACACGTCTCGTATCACAAATTTCCTGCTGCAAGTGGACAGATTTGACGTGTCTATAAAAGCTCGTTCTGCTTTTGATGTCAGTTATACAACACGGTTAATTATTACCTTCACAACATCGAACCGAAACCTTGTTTTTTTTGCATAATTTCAAGAGGACCATTTCCATCTCTCCCAGCTTATTATCTGCTCATTATCTTGCGAGAGGATTGAAGAGCGATGGAAAGCAGACGGGAGGAGGAAAAAGAAAAGAGAGAGAGAGAGAGAGATCTTTGATTTCCGTCACGGTTTTGACAGGATTGCGGCGCTCTGTCGGTGTGTGGGAGCTGATGCAGAACAACATACACACAACAAAAAAACACACAAAGGGAAGCCATGAGGTAAACAAGACAGTGGGAGCTCCAGCCAAGTTCAGAAGGAGGACCATGTGTGGGATGAGACGCCCACTCCAGGTGGCCTCTCTACCTCCACTGCCAGCCTATATATAGTGATGTAAGCCAACAAAAAGGAAAGAACCACCACACATTTGTACAGAGACTCAACGAGAATAACGGCTTCCTGGGCAGGAACTTTGAGGTTTTTTTTGTAACTGCCTGGTCTCTTCAGCCACATGCTATTACAAAAAGTGTTTACTATCTTTATTAAATGACACAGGCTTTTCAATTGCAAATATATGATGCTGATATGTTGATTTT